AACCAACAGTGGATATAGTTATTTTAATCAACCTGTTCAAAGATGTTATGACACATCTTTAAGGCAGGTGGGATTTGAACCTAGACACTGTGAGACTTTATCCATTAGGAAAGGCCGAACATGTTGTGGATTTTTATCTCCAGAATAGCAAAGATTGAAGGGTGATTCAATAGAAATTGTTAAGATTACGAAAGGGTTTGATTGGATACATTCAGAGGAAATGTTTCCAATCATAAGCGAACATAAAATTAAGCTTTGATGTTGAAAGTACCTGCAATAAAAGCAGTGAGGAATTCATTTGAATATAGTACAAGCGCGTAAGTAAGCTGAAATACTGCGTGCAGTTCTGGTCACCCCACCAACGAAGGACATAATTGCATTGAAGAGGGTGCAGAGGAGATTCACCAGGACATTGCCTGGGGTGGAGTATTTCAGCTCGGAAGAGAGGCTGGATAAGCTTGGGTTGTTTTCTTTAGAGCAGAGAAGGCCAGGAGTCGGGGTAGCTGTTAGAGATGGAAAAGATTGAGCTTCATGGACGGGGTGAATAGAAAGCAGCTGTTCCCCTTAGTTGAAGGGTCAATAGCAAGAGGGCAAGAGGGCAAGAGGTTTAGAGGAGATTTGAGGAAAAAGTATTCCACCTAAGGGGTTGTGGGAACCTGGAATGCACTGGGAGTACAGTAGATGTGGGAAACCTTACAGTCTTTAAAAAGATATGTGGTTGAGCGCTTGAAATAACATAACATTCAAGGTTTAATGCTGGAAGATAGCATGATACCAACTACCACAATGCTAAACTGAGTTAAATAATACAGACGGTGGTGAGAATCAGAAACTCACTGTAAGGTTGCTAGATGCAGAAACCCTCTTAACATTTGAAAAGTATTTAGATGTACACACGTGATGCCAAGGCATTCAAGGCAATTGGCCAAATGCTGGAAAATGGGATTAAAATAGTTGATGCTTGGTTCTGATTGGCACAGTATCAATGGGCTGAAGAGTCTTTTTCTGTGAGCTGTAGACGTCTCTGACTCTATGAGTCCATGATATAAAGAAAGGAATGGAGGGTTATACTGATAAGGTAGATGGAAAGGAGTGAGAGGGTGTGCAGCATATATGCTAGCAGAGGCCAATTGGGCCAAATGGTCCAAATGGTCCATCTCTGTTCTGTACATTCTGTGTATTTTTACATAATTACTGGCAGGTTCACCCACTTGTAAGTGCTTGCGTGGGTTTTACAGAAGTGAGGCATAAAACCGTGAAGCAAGCACCAGAACCTGTCTTCACTGGTCTGAGAAATGACCTTATCTTTTACATCTGGAGCCCTGCAGATGCATATTTAATGATAAAAGTGAGTCAGATACAAGTCACCAAGATCTTCACTTGTGGCCAAAAAGGACTTTGGCCTAGATTTTCACATTTTCTTTGGACTAAATATGGAAAAGTTTCCAAGAGGGAAAACTGCGGCCTGCAGAGGTCATGGAAGCCTGCTGCATCTTCCAAGAGTCAGGCTGCTGGAAGGATATCATTCAGAATTACAACCCCAGAGCTGCAAGCCCCACTGGCCTGGAAGTGCTGGCCAGTCAGAAGTTTGAAGCTCTAGAACTCAGCAGTACCATAGTGGTGACTGTTGCCTAGGATACCCATCGACCAGAACTCCAGATGGAAGATCATTACCAAGAAAACTAGGTGCTGGGATTGGGGTGACAGAAAGAGGTGTACAAGGCAGTGAAGGAGGAGCTTGGGGCTGACTCTCAGCAGTCAACCCCTACCCTAGGTCCAGGCCCTTGCAGATTGAGGGACCCCAACTGACAGCTTGGCTGCACTTGGTTAACGGTCAGGTAGGCTGACTCCTTCTCATCCTGCCTGAAGCCAAATTATTTGCAGCCCAGCTGCGTTGAGGCCCTCAAGGCGTTAGGAATTGAAGACTTCAGGGTCTCAATTGGTCGTGGGGTGGCAAAGTTAAGCTTGGGACTTGCCCCCCCCCCCCCCCCCACCCCGTTATCCTCCTCCAATTCCAAATTTATGCAGAACTGGGTACCTCCCTGGTGCCAATCCATCCAATTGTCCTCTCCTGCAGCCAGCTTCGCCTCGTTTTTCAGGAATGGAGGATTCTGCTCATCGATCCAATTTGACAACAATCAGCATTAACAACAAAAAAAACTGACTCGAGTTACTGCCTTCTGCAGAAAGCAAAGTGTAGGGTATGAAGGTTTGTCTGTGGGATGAACTGCTAGAAGAAGTGATTGGTGCAGGTACAGTTACAACATTTAAAAGAAATTTGGAAAGGTACATGAATAGGAAAGGTTTAGAGGTATATATGGGCCAAACGCAGGCAAGTGGGACTAGTTTAGTTTGGGAAAATTGGTCAGCATCAAAGAGTTGGACCAAAGGGTCTGTTTCCATAGAATCATTCCGTGTATGATTCTGGGAATCTATAAATTCTGACATAGCAGGCAATCTTTATGAAGAATAGAGAGCCGAATTCCTGCCCTTTAACAGAGGGGAATGTCAACCACGGGCTTAAGAATCAAACTAGAAATTGGGTCAAGAGCTGGATCCATTGGAGAATTCCTGCCCCATTCATTGCTGAAGCAAAGAGCTTTCAAGAGGTCAGATAGCTCTACTCATCGATTATGTCCTGGTGGGAGTTTGGAGGAGGAGCTGGTAGATGGTGCACTCCTGGACAACTATCTGATATACTCAGCAGAGCCTTCATCTGCTGAGAGTAGGCATAGATGCCAACCTGGCCCACAGGTGCAGCATGGTGGTCAGTGACTATTACTACTGCCTCAGAACACCAAGGACCTGCATTCGATTCCAGCCTCGGGTGACTATGTGTGGAGTTTGCACATTCTCCCTGTGTCTGCGTGGGTTTGCTCCAGGTGCTCCAGTTTCCTCTCACACAGTCCAAAGATGTGCAGATTAGGTGGATTGGCCATGCTAAATTGTCCGTGGTATCTAAGGATATGGGATACGGGCCAAAAAATGTAGGCAGATGGGACTAGTTTAGTTTGGGAACATGGTTGGTGTGGATTAGTTTGGACCGAAGGGTCTGTTTCCATGCTGTATGACTCTAAGGATGTGCGGGCTAGGTAGATTAACCATGGTAAATTAGAACTCTAATTCTGAAAGTGTGGGATTATGGGGATAGGACAGGTGGTTGGGTCTAGGTGTGACACTCTTTAGGGGGTTGGTGCAGGCTCAATGGGCTGAATGGCCTCTTTCTGCACTGTAGGGATTGTATGATTCTGAAGTGTTTTCTGTTTTGCCCTGCAATCTGGCACAGCACAACTAGGGCTGAGAATGTTCAAGGCGCAGTGGTATAATGACCTATGTGGCCAAGCATTGAGGGATTTGTCAGCTTGTAGTATCTGTTACCCATTCCAGACCATAGCTGCCCCTTTTGAACAGCAGGTTATGAATTCATCACTCCACACCCAGTCCTCTAATCCAAAGAACCTGCCCTCAGGATTTGGACTGGAATCAAATCATATGAAGATGGAATAAGGCTCTACTCAATAACTTGCAGAGAAGAATCTGATTTATAACTGAAAGAATTGTAGAATTTGGAAATCAGTGACAAAAACAGAAATTGCTGGAGAAACTCAGCAGGTCTGGCAACATCTGTAGACAGAGGAACAGAATTAACGTTACGGGTTCAGTGACACTTCTGCAGGATCTGATTCAACCTGGGAACACCTCAAGAATTGTCAGGTCCTTCTTAATTTCATCTTTTTACAGGATTCAATCCAAAATGTTTCCTCGCTGTGTTCATCTTTTGGGAAGTGCACAGAGATTGAGCAAAAGCCTTTTAGCAAGAGTGGTAATTTGCAAATACAGTATTGCTTGCAATTTTGGAACGGAATGTCGGGCTCTGTATCTAACACGTGTCCCATTTTGGACTGACACCAAAGCTGAATTTTACCCCATTGCTTCTCATTCAGGCAGTGGAGTTAAAATAGCAGTCACATCTCAGTGACATCATCAGCGCTGTCATATTGTTGTAAGAAAAGTCTTTGGCACCTGGTCTGTCAGAAAATTGAGGATTTGAGTTATAAGGAGAGGCTGGAGAGACTGGGACAACTTTTTCCCTTGAGCATAGGAGGCTGAGGGGTGACCTTACAAAGGTTTATAAAATCATGACAGGCAGAAATCAGGCGAATAGTCAAGATCTTTTCCCCAGGGTACAGGAATCTAAAACTAGAAGGTGGGTAGGTTTAAGGTGAGAGGAGAAAGATGTAAAAGGGGCCTGAAGGACAGTTTTTTCACACAGAGGGTGGTGTATATGTGTAATGAACTGCCAGAGGAAGTGTTAGAGGTAGATACAGTTACACCATTTAAAAAACATTTGGACAGCTATGTGAATAGAAAAGATTGAGAAGACTATGGGCCAAACACAGGCAAACATCGGCTTTCCCGCTCCTCTGATGCTGCCTGGCCTGCTGTGTTCATCCAGCTCTTCACCTTGTTATTTCAGACTCCAGCATCGGCAGTTCTTACTATCTCCAATTGGGATTAGTTCAGTTTAGGAAACCTGGTTGGCATGGACAACTTGGATCGAAGGGTCTGTATGACTCTATGACTCTAAATTTAGAACAAGTCTCCAGGGCAAGTAAGCACCCTGTGAAACTGTCCTGTTGTATCCTATTTTAATCTCTAACTTCGTTCAGGGGCTGCGTAGTCCTGTCTGTGTAGTTCATGATAGAGGGAAAAACCATTTAAAAAGAAAATATAGTAATACTGGGAAATGAAGGTGTTGGGGTTTACTGGTCCTCCATTTTGAAGTTCCAAGACAAGTTGGACTATTACGTGTGTCTTTCAAAAGCATTCCTGTGTTTTTTTTTCACCTGTCTTGTGAATTCAGCAGCATTTCTCAAGGACAGGACTCTCTCAAGGGCAATGTTAAAATTCTGCAGCCCATTGTGGAGCAATGGGCATTTGATTTAAAATGTTAAGAAAATCCCCTTTATAATTCAGACAAAAAAAAACATAAAATGCAGTTTGTGTCCTCTTCCTGTTAGATACCCAGGATGCCTCCGGGCCGAACGGTGATTCTCAGGGAACTGCGGAGAGTGTACGGAAGCAGCTGCGGAGCGAAGCATTTGCCCAACAGCAGTTGGAGGCCCTGGAACGCGTCTTTGAGCGGCAACACTATTCAGACGTTTTCAATGCTGGCGAACATATCAAATCAGAGCAGGTGAGACGCTGTACAACTCGAAGGTATTTTGTGCAAGAGGTGTTTGTCCTTCATGCATGCACACACACAAACGAGGCAACATTCAAAACTTGCAGTGGTTCAGCCTGTAGCAGATGCATCTCTGAATTGGGTGAGATAACAAGGTGTCAAGCTGGATGAACACAGCAGGCCAAGCAGCATCACAGGAGCAGGAAAGCTGACGTTTCGG